GGCGGGGGGCATTGGTGACTGGGTTTGTCTCCAGGAGCAGCCGCTGCACACACTGCAGCTCTGCTTTCCCGGGAAGTGGCCGGACATCGCTTACTGAGGGGAAGCAGAGAATAACATCTTTGTTTCTGTGCATGGCCTGGGCCTTTGCTTTAATTAAACTGCTTTTATCTTGACCCACGAGTTCTTCATCTTATTCTCCCCCTTTATTTTGCTGACGGGGGAATGATAGAGGGGCCTGGTGCATACCTGGCATCCAGCCAAGGTTGACCCACTGCAATTCAGTTATTTTTTATATTTCAATTTTGTTGATACAGCTATAGATTGTCTTGGATCTGTGCATGCTGCTGTTGAGTGGTCCGTCATTGCAGAGGCAAACCACAGTTCCCTGGGACAACAAAATGAAGTGGCATAACATAATAAAGAGGATATACCACTTCTCTTGAGTATTAAGACTAGCTGATGTTCAGAAGACTGACTTTTTCTGACAATGAAGGGCTGAAACATCTCGAAATACTGTTGGTATTTTACAGAACCTGATTTGGGCACTGGATAAATCTAGCAATAGCTTGATATTCACATTTATATCTGTTAGGATTGTGTGTCTCAGATTTGTAAGTAGGATTTGTTTTCCCCATGTTTCCCCCAGCAGTGTTTCAGTCCCCACTCAGCCTTTTTAAAAATTTCATTATCCAGCATCTTAAACTGAAGTAAGTCACTCGTCTTCAAGTAGGAGTTGACCTGTTTTACAGAAAGCTTTGTGGGTACGTTACAGTCTCTGCTTCTGGTTATTGCCACAACTGGATAATAACTTTAAATATTGCTTCTGTTGGGGGGGTGGGGTGCAGCTCGAACAATTATGGGCCTGTTGTAATGCGTAAATAAGAGCAGGTACATGAGTTCATTCAGACTACATAGATCCCTGCAGTGCTCCCAAGCCTGCAGCCACCTTCAGTAAATTATTAATACAAGTCTCAAATGAAGATGAAATGTGGGAATGTGGAAATAAAGCTGTCAGGCAAATGGTAGCTTGTACTTAAGTACTCCCAAGTCTGTAAAACTTGAGACAAAGTAAAGAAATTCTACCAAGACAGCAGTTACTCAGTAGCTTTTCTGCAACTTCCAGGAGAAAATGGTTCAATTTTAATATCTTGCCACTACAACTATGAACTTGAATAACAGAACAGCTCAGGTTGCAAGGGACCTCAAAGGACCATCTGGTCCAACCTTACATGGGAAAGGGAGCCTAGATGAGATTATAGAGCACCCTCTCTGACTGCATCTTGAAAATCTCTGGTGATGCAGACTCTATCACATCCCTAAATGTCACAGTGTTCCTTAAAACACGACAAGGTGGATGCACAGGAAAGCAGAAGACCATGGTTATGTGAGTTCTAGCTGGGAAACCTTCCATTTGACTGACTGATAAGTAGTAACATCATACATGTTATCACTTTGAAAATATCTTTAGAATAAAAGTATCTTCCCTTAGTAGATCTTCTAGCAGGATTCTTTCCTCTGTGCTGCTCTGGGGTCTTAGAGCAGGGGAAAGTGTGCATTCCTAATCCAGGTGGTTGACTGAAGGAGAAAAGACTGGGTTTAGCTGAAACATGGAAGAACCAGCCTGACCTGTGTTGAAGGAAGGAGTTTTGGAAAGGAGAATACCACCAATCTGGAAACAACCTCCAGTTTGGGGGGAGCTACCTGGTTGGACTTGTAGAGCCACATGTGAAGCCCCGTGTAACTTGTTTGCACCTCTCTTGCCTGGTGGCTGCTTTTTGTGGCTTTGTTCAACAGGCATAAAGCAGAATGAAACACTGCAATGTGATCACCATCCAAATTGGACTTGGAGGTTCAAACTCACATCACTTGCAGGGATGACAGGCGTTTAAAAAATTTTGAATGCATTCTGCAGTTAGAGAAAATGTCAGCAGAAAGTAAGAAGCCAGTAAGAAAAGTCATCTGGTGCTTAGAGGATATTTGTTAATATCCTCTAGGAACTTCAGTAACCAGTTTTGTAAGGACTTTGCAAATGCAGCTGTAGGAGCAAAGCTAGAAAGGTAGAAGAACATTGTAAAAATGCATGTTGGCCCTAAGAAGCAACATCATGCCCATAATGCAGAAGTAAATACCTGTGCACCAGCTTCCTGTCACAAAGGCTGAACTCTGCACCCCCGCCTCATGGTTCTGTAGACTGGAGAATACGCTGTTCTTAATTCCGTGTTTCAGTTAACCCAGTTACAGGCTTCACACAAGCCATTGGTCTCCCAGCATGTTTGTTTTGATAAATACATCAATCAGCCTCTACCCTTACAACCCAGCACAGATCAACATTTACAAAAACATCAAAATTCCCATGAAACAGCCCAGATCCCTGCTTCTTATCAATACCGGGCTAGTATCAGTCATGGGGATGACAGTAGTTACCGTGCTCTGTGGTTTCTGGCT